TCGGACTTTTCCAAAAAGGGTATAGTGCTTTAAAGTACCACATTGCCATCATTCCTGCCAACATTAGATGTGATAAATAATTTTAACTTTATGCTCATCAAATAAGACCCAGTGGTTCTCAAATGGCTAGGGGACATTTCACAATGTCTTGAAATATTTTTGATTGCCACAACTGGGGTGGGAGGAGCACTGAGGAGAGGAGGGAAGGTGCTACTAGCACCTAGTGGTTAGTTAGAGACCAGGGATGCTGCTAACATCCTGCAATGCACGGAACAGCCCAAAATGTCAATAGTGCCAGGGTTAAGAAACCCTGGTATAAAGTTATTTTCCAATATTATTTTAGTTTGTACTTTATTCACTACTAAAGAATTTGAAAATCTTTTCAAATTTATTGGCCATTTGGGTTTCTTCTTCTGGATAGCACTTATTCATATGTTTTGCTATTTTTTTCTATTAGGCTGTTTGTCAACAGTGTAAAATAGATATCGCCATATTCATTACAATTCTTCCTCCAAGTTTATTGTTCGCTCATCAATAAACCTGTTGCCCTCCTGTATCTGTCTCAGTGGCTCCTTTTTGGAAGACCCAACTCACACACTTCAGGTGTACAATATATTAATAGAAAAGTTGGTAGTTAATACCTACTGAGGACAGTTGTGAATACTTCCATCAATATTTGGGAAGCAATAAATCTAGTTATCCAGGTCCTGGCCACTAGGTCCAAGAGCTTTATGGCATGTCTTTGCATAAAATTTGATTATTGTTTGTCAGCATGATGGGACTTTAACAGATATGGTACTATGAAAGAATCCATATACCTCCAACAGGTAAGCACTGACAAAGCAAAAGCACACGTATCTGCCCCCACGAATAATTTAAAGCCAACTATGAAAGCCAATTGCTTGGGGCCCAGAGTACCTTTTATTCACAAAGAGTAGATGAGATAGCAATCCTTTCTTCTACCTGATCTTTTCTCCGCTACTCTTGCTTAATTTTTCTTTCCTGCTTTTTCCCCTCTGATTACCTTTTGTTTCCCTTCTTTAGTCTTACTACAGCTATAAGTTTTTTTAAAAAGTATACTATGCAAAGAATTTGTAGGAAACTCTGAGTGTCTAAGTTCAGAACATTACATAGCTAGTTTAAGCTACCTAGTGTCAACAAGAAATATGTATATTTTAAAACAGATGTGGATGAAAGGAACTAAGAAAAGCACATATAAGTTAATAGATAAATTTAACATTTTCCATTTGT